ATTGTAATCCAAAGTTTTTGAGTGTTTGGTCTAAATTTTCATACCACTGTCGTCCACTTTGTTTCAAACCATAAAGAGACTTTTTCAAAGCATAAACATATTCAGGATTATTTTGGTCTTCAAAATCTTTAGCTTGTTCCATGAAAATTTCTTCTTTTAAATCTCCGTTAACATAAGCCATAACAAAATCTACTTGATATAACATAAGGTCTTGTTCAGCACTGTATGCAATCACAGTTCTTATAGAACTTGCTCTGGCTACTGGAGCAAAAGGTTTCATTAAAATCAATTCCAGGTTCCTGTGCAAATCCTCTAGCAACCAATCGAGCTTTTCTCTTTTGAACTGTTCCATCTGCATTATATTTCGTTCTAAGAACCCAGCGACATCCTATTACCTTTTTGTTGTGTGGTCGCTTTACTAATTTCCATGCACCATTTTTAACAAGTGCTTCATACTCACTTTGCATAGCCTTATGCCATTCTTCAGCATAACTTCCATTTAATGCTTCTTCTAATGTCGGATTTGTATCTTCTTCAGCAATTTGTGCATGTTTATTGTGGTACTCCTTTTTTGGTCTTCCTGGCTTCCCAGTCTTGACTTTCTTTGGACGACCTGGCCCCCTTTTAATCTGCATTTCAGGTAGTGCTTCGGAATCAGAATCTTCATTATCAGATGATTCAGCAGATACTTATGCCAGATTTGAGGGGTTCTCTGTCATTTCATCAGCCAATATTTGCTTTACATTCAAAGGTTCTTTCTTCTTTTTATCATGAGTATTTTCAAGAAATAAAACTTTTAAATATTTATCACAATTAGTACAGTTTTCAAATTCATCAAAAAATTTAACATCTGGGTCTATAATGATTTTTATGGAATTTTTATTCCACAGTCCGTATGCTTTAGATTCATTTGAATACCCTACAAAAATACGTTCTTTTGATTGAGGATCAGACTTCCCTTTAGAACTTTTATTAAGTACAAAACATTTCCAGCTGAATACTTTGAAATAAGATGCAGTTGGTTTGATGCCAAAAAATAACTCTTATTGGTGTCTTGTTTAATCCTGCAGTCCTGAAGATATTTATTAAATTCTTCTCCACGATACTCGAGATCATTATCAGTACAAAGGATTTTTATTTTTCTGAGACGATTTTCGACTACAGCTTTGTATTTCATGAATGATTTTTTCACTTTGTCTTTAGTTTTAAGAAAACTATTTTCGACATAATGCGATTTGTCATCTCCAAAGGTAACAAAATAACATGAGCCAGCATGAGTTGGGACTGTTATAGGTTCACACAAATCTGAGTGAATCAAATTCAGTAATTCTTTCTTCACTTTGAAATTTTGATTCATTTTGAAAAGGTTGAACAGTTTGTTTACCTTTGCAGTCTTTTAGAGATTCGGCATCATTAAAATTTAAATTTCTAACCATGTTAGATTTAAGTCTTTCAAAGAACTCATTTGAATGATCTAATTTAAGATGCCACTTTAAAAAATCACTTACCTGTGCTACTGCAGCTATTTCAGTGCTTGGATATATATAATAAAGATCACCATTACGAATAGCCTGCACTAGTATAGATGCCTTTGGTTCTATTATTTTAACATGTTGCCCTGTAAAAATCACTTGGCGATTATTTGTGGTAGCTTTAGTTGTTGGCAGCAAATTATATTTTAATTTGAGACACATAGCACATTTCTGAGTGTAAGATTATTTGCCGTATTTCCGTTAGGTACTATTATTAGAAAAGTTCTGATTCCTGAAATTTTTGCTATTTTGTCAATTTCTAGCTTTATGGTTGAATTTGTTCGAGAATGAAATTCTCAAAAATAACCTTCTGTCATTGCACAAGTGAGATGTACAGCTACTATCTAAGCACTATAAGGAAGTCTGCTGATAAGTGTTATTTATTGTTAAACTAATCTGCTTTTCATAATTAGTATATCCATAATAGAACCTTGATTTCCTTATTTGATTGCAAATATTTTTTTTTCTGCATTCAAATGCCTTGTGGCTAATTTTTGTACAGTAATTACACTTCAAGTTCCAATATATTCCTTCAGTTGGGGGTGGGGGATTACTTTCCATTTTTCTTCTGTTCTTATTTTATTTTCAATATAGTATGCATTTTGTAAATTGTCAGATGTTTTCCCTTTTTTTGCTTCCCATTCTTCTAGCATTTTGATTTTTAATGATATTCGGGACGAGGTAATTCATCTCTTGATTTGATGGTGCTTTTGTAGAGCTAACCTTCTTTGCAGGTCACTTTGATCATACTCAGCTTTGAGTTTATTCCACACAATGGTTTATATAACACAGTTCACTAGAATGGCCAGAATTATGTACATGCAAGCTTTTTTATCAGTTTGGAGCCATTTCTTTTTGTTTTTGGTTCCTTCAGTTATCAGGACTTGTATTCCTCTTTACTTGAATGAAACAATGAAGTGTCCTGACTCGGAACAGGGAGCTTACTCAAGCTATGTTCAATAAATTGTGAAGTACACAATACACACAGGAAAGGTATACAAAACCCTTTATTTTTTCTATCTTTACAGCGATTTCCGGAACTTCGGAATACAGAGACCAACCACTTGTGGTCTGAACGTAAGAATATAAAAATACTAACTAAAAAACTCTAACTAAAACTAACTTTGGATTAATATACAAGTGCCTAACTTCAAGATTGGCCGTTATTTAACAAAATTCGTATGTAGTTCAGAGAGCTGTTAAAACTACAATACGCTTAAAATTATCAAGAGGACTAAACCTCTGGCCTTGAAGGCAAACAGCAATCGAGTAAAAACTACTATGGCAAGCGGCCTGCTTCTAGTAACTCCTTCCTCTCTCTTGCTTGGCAAAAAGCCACAACTTAAGTACTTGGCGTTAGCAAGACAAATTTGCATAAATAAGTTAAAGCTTTTAATTCTGGCTGGAAGTAGAAAATAAGAAGTGATAGTAAAGATTTAAAATAAAATAAACGTTAGTAAAACTTAGGATCCTTACACAGTAAGTTTCAATTCTTTACCGGTCACATAATTTCACTTTTTAATCAATGCAGTTTCTATTTGTAACTTCCAGCTGTCAAAATTATCTTTTCCAAGCTTTTCTATAGCAGTCAAATACGAAATACAGTCTCTCACAGCCAAAACAAAATTAAGAGATATAAAAAAAAAGGCTTAATGCTGATCAGTTCGTTCTTACCTTCAATTAGGTTTAAGCATTCAACGCTCGAAAATATCCATTTCAAAGAAAATATTTTGCTACTTAAGCACTGTTGAAACGTTCCTGGGCCAATAACTATTGAAGGGGGAAAAAATGAGCCTAAACAGATTATAGCATCAATCAACATTTTTAATGAGAGATATTAACTTAAACATGGTTTCTTACAGGAGAAAAAGCGAAGCAAAGAAATGTATGTACACCGCGCAAAAGAAATATTTCCCGTTCTACTGGGCCGATTGACAAAATTGAACTTGCGTTTTTCATCTCTCGAAAGTCTGACTTAGGATAGGATATATATTAGATTTATATATAGCATCATTCTAATATAGGTGTTTTGACACAAAATCGGACCTTTTTCTGAAGTATTCACACAAGTAGTTTTTAAAAAATTAGCTCTCAAAATTTTAGCTCCTCAATGTTAATTGAGTTTGGTATATATTTATGAAGCTCTTTTAAACTTTATTCTTCCTTTCACATTGCGAAATTTAGGTTCATTACAAATAAAATTCTACCATTTTTTATGATTTATTTTTAAAATTTGTATTTTAAAATTTTTGAATTATAATCTATAAAAACGTTACCATCATCTTAAAGTAGATGTATTTTGCAATACCTGCAAAAAAGTACAGTTTTTTATTCAAAATTTCCGAAGCTATACATGAATTTATATATTGTCTCGTTTTGAAATTTGGCATATTTGTTGAAAGCAATAAAACATCAGATGTGGTTTAAACATTTTGCTAAAATTATAGAAACGATGTGACTTTTTTCCGCTCATATACAATATAAAAAGGTAGGAACGAAGTGCCTTTTTTTCCCGCTCCAGGATAATGGAAGGCAAAGGAAAATTAATTGCCATATATTAAGAAGTTTGCCAAGTGAATTATTCTTGGTCAAACTGGAAAAATTTTGTTAAGAAAAATTTTTGAATTTCTATGTAAATTTCACACCAAATTTTACAAAATTTAATATCTAGGCATAATTTGAGTTGTAGAATCGAAATATGGAAAAAAGTTATTTCAGAAAAAGTCTGATTTTTTGTCAAAATACCTATGTTAGAACAATGCTATATATAAATCTAATATATATCCTTAGTCACGCTTTCGAGACATCAAAAACACAATTTGAATTTTGTCAATTGGCCCAGTAGAATGGTCCCATTTTTTTGTTCTTCTGCAGTGTGCATATACATGTATACAAAAAAATTACATCATCAGCTCGCAGATAAGTGTGAAGTATGCATGCGTTAGGAGAAGAGCTATTAAGCTAATGTCTTATATTTTAGGATAATACAACAAACTGTGCTGGGAACAGTGTTTACATTGCAATAGATGTATATTCATAGGTAATGGGAAAAGAGTAAGATGCAATACAAGTTAATATTGTCAAATCTGACAAACATTTGAAAACACCATTCAATAATTAAAAATGTTTTTTTTAATGCACATTAATCTAACTTTTCGTATTGTCATAATTAGTACAGAAGTTTTAATTCAAAAAGAGCACTTTCTGGTCATAAATGAGATTTAAAAGAATGCATGAAGTATTAATTTCAATTTTAATGTTTGGCATAAGTCTTTTATAGAATTTAAGCATAAATTTCTCTAAGACAAACAAGGAAAGTATCTTTGCCTTCTCCTCCATTTAGATTACTTTCTTAATAACAGGTATTTATAAACATGCTAGCATTTCTTGAAAGTTAATCCTGTTTCTAATATTGTTGTGCATTAATAGATTAATCAAGCCTTAATGCAAAATATCAAGAACATTGAAATATTTTAAAATGTCATTTTATTGCACCAATAGAATGTGATTTTGCATTACAAATTAAAAAATACAAATCTTAAATACAACATGAGCAGATTCATAATGCATCATCTCAAAAATCTTTTTAATAAGTTTACTGTAACAATTATGTATACAGTATAATTTTGTAATATAAATATTTTAATATTCATACAATATACCATTTTATTATTTACATCAAATTGTGTCATACATTATGTTTTTCCCTCTAAGAAATATGGTGTAGAGTTCTGTTATGTAAATTACACAAAACTAAGTACATTTTTATGTTCTTTCTCAATTTTGAAGATATGTAGAAAAATACTCATAATCAAAATTGTTTTCATTTATAATCTATGCAGATTTTCATAATGTTGCATTGTAGCTAATTGTAAAATAAAATAAGTATCAGTATCCGGACTGTTTCAGAAAATGTTTTTAATGGTTAAATTCATTGTAATGCACTTACATAAATTTAAAGTATCTGATCTCATCATATGATAAATCTTTCAGTAGAAATTGTCAACTGAGACGATATTTGATTCAAAATGTGAGAAAGTTATTGGTATAGAATTTTTAGCTACAGTTTTTATTTTACATGACAGACATTTAGGATTGTCTTTTTAGGGGGGCACCTTATTAAAAATTGTCTTTTTAGGGGGGCACTTTATTAAAAATACAAAATGCTTATGAATTAATAAAACTAGGAATGTTATCCAAACATAATATTCCTTGAGTTGCAAATAATGACAATTTAATGTATTTTATATATATATAAAAAAATAGTATATAAACTGTATATACTATTTTATATAATTTGATAGATTCAGATTTCACGAGTTGAACCAATTAACAGTGTTTATGCAAAGTCTGTCTCCCTTTCAAAATTTCTCATTGTATAAAATGTCTAAATCAAATCATTTGCATTTTATAATAAATATAAATGTTCTTCCTTGCATGCAATAATAAATTAAACATTAAATGCTTAAAAGAAAATTATTTTAAGTAATTGAGTATGTTATATGTCTGGTATTTTAAATGAAACTTTATCTGATGCAATCTGTGTAAAACTTCTGATAAATTTGCAAATGGTCTGACTATAATTTTATAATGTAAAATATGTCTGGAAAGTAATTCAGATTAGAGAAAATAAAATTTAAATTTCTATCTTTACTGTGAAAGATCGCCACTTTGACTACATAATTTGTGATTCATTATGGAGGGAAGGGGAATGTCTCGCTTAGATTTTATAATTTTGCTTAACACCTGAAGCTTGCAAACTCATAATGCCAAACATGCAAACCTGTAAACGAACTGACTTTTTAATGAAATGCTATATCTACTTGTCAAAATCAGAATAACTGCAATAACCAAAATGAATAATTTTTTTAAGAAGTATTTACTAATGCATACCTAAGATGTAAATTATACAGAAATTACACAGCTCAAATACTAGGGTAAACTGTATAAATACTTCACTTTTTTTTAAAGAAAAATAACACATATTGCTGTCATTTGATAAAACCAAATCTGAATCGTTAAAAACTTGATTCAAGAAGTATTTCAGTTTTAGCTTCTAGATTTCTGGTTGGAATATAAGTTATAAACAGATAGGTGTGATGTATGTGGAAAATGATTAAAAAATTCTTATTACATATATAAATGGTATTAGACTTTTTTAACCCTTTGCACTTGAGAGGTGACTCTCAGTCTCCCACTTGATTTGATGTGGTAATTCTCACGCAGAAATTTCAAGTTTAAGTTTGTTTGGTTTGATCAGTATCATTTCATGCATATAAACAATACATGCATATAAAACAACTACCAATCTTTAATATGTTTTTTAGATCTACTGTAATATATGTATCTTTGATATTAGTTTGCAGTTGATAGTCCTGGCAACAGGAATATTATTATTTTTAAAATTACGGAGCTGAATAAGCATGAAATTCAACAAAGGAATTTGTTCAACTGAAGATGTGTTAGACTTTTCATCAATGAAGAGCGAAATTATATCTATGGGTAGACTACTTGATAATAGAGAGGAAGAAAGCAGTGATGAAGACTGCAATGAAGTAAAGGGTATAAAGAAGGCAAAAATTCTGGGTAATAACTAATGAATGTGAAAGCGACAGTGATTGGGCAGAACAGACAGAAAATCCAGAATAGATAACATGCATAGAATCCAAAGAAATATTGCAAAGAATACCATTTATATCCGGCAAAAGAGTTGCAGGATCACAAGTATCTTCTTCTGTGAAACTATTTTAAGTTAGCTGTAGTTATTCACAAAATATGCAGAAAATAGTCGAGTTGCTGGTTCAACTGAATGAAAAAAAGGCCTCGAGTGCAAAGGGTTAATTAAACTTGTTATAAAATGTTATTAAAAAGTATGAATTGTTTTTAAATCATTTCACATAATTTGCAAGTGATGAAATATGTACTTTATGACACGGAAGATAAATGAGAGATCTTATGTGCCATATCAATTAGTAATAATTCCAGCTTCATCAGAATGTGAACTTTTATGGAGTTAAAACAATGGCTGAGTTTTAAGTGCTTAAAAAGTACAGTATGTATTTATTTCAAAACTTCTTGAATGATGCTTCAAGCTTTTTTTTTTTTTAAATCTGTTAAGATTTATTTTAATACAAAATGTGAAAATACCAGTACTTAAAACAGCAACCTCACAGATATGAAAAGTACATGAAACATTAATGCCTTACAAATGAATTATGGAGTTTTAAAATTCATAAATAAAAAAGTACAGGAAAATCACATAAAAAGCAACATAAAACGGTTGCAGCACAAAGTTCAAGCACACTTCCAAAAATTGTATATTAATACATAACATCAAATTTTTGAAGTAATCAGTTTATTACTGTTGTAGTAAATATTTTTTTTCTCCAGTAACATCTGGTATATTAGCACTGTTTTTTGAGACAGTACTGTCTATGGTAGGTAGGATAGGAGGCTCATCTGCTGCCTCATACTGAGGATTGTCTGCAGTGACTTGAACATCAGGACACTGTGTTACTTCGGGTCTTATTACCTTGAAAGGGAGAAAAAAAGTACTGTCTAAAAAAATGCAAAATATTTATTTTCTATTTAACAAACATTTAATTGTCATATAATCAAATTTCAGAAATAATGCTATTCTAATATACAGGCTTGACTAAACCAACAGTCTAGTCTCCAGCTTCATTCTGCTTTGTATATTAGCCAGTACACAGTACATAGCAGCATATTTATATGCAAAGGTTTTCAGAGAAAAACAGAATGAAAGATCAAAATTGGATGCTTGTTTATAGGGTATTTTCTAATTCATTATGCATAGCACTCAGAATCTTTTTTAACCTGGCTAATATAAGTAAGTAGTTGCATGCGTATTTCAGAACCACCTGGTACACAGCCAGCTTATACCCTTTTAGCTCAAATCATTCTTAGAAGAAAAGTGCAGGTTTGCAAAAATGTTCCAAAAAGAAAACTCTGGCTTAAATCATACCTGCCTCACCCAAGCCCTTCTCAATTTACTAAACATAGAAGGAATTATATGAACCTAGCTGTCTGATTGACTGTCAACTGCACTACCCATCTGCAGAGATTATGTTTAGGAATCCTGTTCATGTATATTGCACTCCCAGAGCTGAAACTGTATTCGTACAGATCTCAGCTAATACAATAAATAACCCTGACGGACATAGCTAATATATAAATACTGTGAAACAATATTATGCAAATTAATGAAAAGTTTTACAGTGACTGGAATAAAATAAAACAGCAAACTTTGTAATCAATTGTCAAGTCTCTCTCTATGTATATTAATGTTTTTGTTTTCAGTTCAAAGAGAAAAATTTTTAAATGAATTCAAAGAGAAAATATTTTTTTTTTTTTTTTTTAATTGTTGGAAATTATCCAGAAAGTGTGGATTCAAAGACTAAAATAATGTATTATAGTCAAGTCATTATAAAGTGAAATTAAAATTGTTTAATAAGTGCATGAAAATTCTTGAATAATATTCATAAATGAGAAACAAAAATTGTATTCAAAGGAAATGGACACCATTTCAAAGACAGTGTGTTGTATTCACTGACATCAATCCATACATATGCTTAATTGTAAAAAACAAAATAGATCATTTAAATATTAAAGATCTTCATGCTGCATTATTACATATTTATTAGTCAATGAATCTAGGCTTAGTACATTTGCCCAACAGGTACACATAGAGAATAGTAGCCTTTCCCTTTACTTTGTTAAAGACAGTGACTTTTCAGAACTTACATCTATTCTGAATAGCTTTAAAAAAGTTCCTTTTTTGTGTGTGTTAGATATAACCATTGAGGATTTTGTCATTTTTAATTATCTATAATGCAACAATTGTGTGCAATGAAGGTATGCAAGAAGTCTATAGTTGTTTGTTTTGTTCCTATCCTTAAAGATAGTGATGATGCATTTTTCTCATTCAATGTTTATTCCTTGCAAACTGGTGAAAGAGCTCTACTGTGTAAGATATCCTTTATCCTACACTGTACTTGTAATTCTTTCTCAGCTCATCACTTCCTGTGTAAACACCAATATGAGATTTTCAACACTTGTTTCAAAATGTGTGTGCAATTCTTCGACTGGATTTTTGTTCTTGGAGTATCAAGATTTACTCGATCGAATATGAACCAGAAATCTGGAGGAAATAAAGAAGGACTTTGAGTAATACTTCCATTTCTCATATAATATCTGATTTTACCACAAACATAATTATCTTTAAACTACTGTATTTGCTTCATCAAGAGGCTTTATCTCATCAAATGCAGATGGAATGTCACCAGACCAAGGAAAAGCAAGAGCTAAAATGTGTCAAAGTTTGAGATTAAAACTTTCATCTTCACCATACCTTTTAGCAAGCCTTGATGCCTGAATATGGTGCCACACTATGTCCTAAATGAAAGAAACACCCTTTACTAGCAGCATTTGAGAATTCATAACTAGAACAATTAATTGTTGCTTTTTCAGAATCACAGATAATGAAGTGAGGATTTACTTTGAGGTCATGTTCGACAGTAAAATCATTCAAATGTTGAAATAAATGAGTATAGCACTTTTCTGATTTGCTGGTCATTAAAACATAAACAAGAGGAAGCACTTTCATTGGTTCCAAAGGGATAATGATTGCATATGGTTAAACAAAAATCTTGAAGCAATTTTAAATATCCCATCCATGATCCAATAAAGGTCTTCTTTCAATAGTGCAATGTATTTTTTGGTCACGAAGAAGATTATGCATTGATTGTTAAAAGATAAATCATTTATCAAAAAGTTTTCATTGCCAATAGTCCTAAGTTTTAAGAAAATATTTTCAAAAATAATAGCCCATATAGGCAAAATTTCTTTATGATCTTTTTTTATAACTTAACATAGAGCAAGACAACTAAGCATTGCAGGATGACTTTGTTCTGGGACAGTATTGTTTTCCTCTTAAATATAATAGCTAGTATGTTGCAACTTTTGTGGGCCTTTTGTTTTAATATTATATACAGTTACAGGAATATCATTTTTTAGCATCATATTCATAATTTCATTCCATTTGGTTCTAGTGATGTTTTCTAATTACAAGCATGGTGTTTGTATAACCCTCCACAATTCAGAGCTCTTGCAACACCAATAAAACAAATCACTTCTGGTTTTGTTTTTGCATATCAAATAATTATCAACAATAAATTTAGGATGACCTATTTTTAAAGGCACTTTTTTTTTTTTTTTTTTTTTTTTTTTTTTTTTTTTTTTAAGTAACATATGCTGATCTCTAATGCATTTACCTAATACATGACAAAGAATGAAATAGAAGAGATAATAAGAGACTATATGAATGAGGTACAGTAGAATATCTAACATTTCTAGTATTTCAGACAATAAGGTGAAATGTTACTTTCTAAGTGTTTTTTTTTTTTGGATCTGTATACAGAATATGGAATACAAAGTTACCCCCACCCAATTAGTGACCGGAAGCACTAACAATGCCTGATGTGCTTAATTTACAGCTCTGCTACAAAATCTCAATGCCACACCAGCAGATTAATAAAATGGTACAGTGGTTGGTAATACTGACTGATGGGCCTAGGTTCAAATCCTGGAGAAGGCATTAATGTTTGTAAACCTATAGTGTCTGTGTGGCAAGGCAGTACTGAAAATACACGGTGAACTGAAAGTGTTCTCAAGAGATTGATGGTAACGGAAGGGTGTAACTCCACACCTGTTTGACCAATGGTATTAAAAATTCACAGTTTATTCATTCCTTGTTGCTTTCCATTGCAATAAAATGTTTGAGATTACAATTTCTAAACTAAATGAATTTTACTGAACGTAAAAGCACAAAAAGAGAATATAGCAAGATAAAATGAAACTAAAAATTCTTACTTTGAAACCAGTCCACAAAGTTGAAAGTTCATGTCGACACCATCCTATTATTGTGGGAGGTAAGAGAGTACTTGGCACCAAATACAGAAGAGCTGGCTGTGCTGCACTCATCAGAAATAAGCCTATGAATGTTACCAACAGTCCTACTCCATATGCTGAATTAGAAAGATGTGTACATACATATACATTAGTTGCAATATATATGCTACAGACATAAGATTTCATTCAACAAAATCAATAAGTTGCCAACCAAAAATTTTCAAAAGTGAAACAAAATGAAATAGCATATTTCATTTATTTGCACATAGTTTGATAAAGAAAAAAAAAAAAGATACACTATGTTTCAATTACATCCAGTATGTTATCTAAAGTGGACCTGAAGTGCATTGCAGAATCAGTCAAAGTGCATAAGATAAAATCATGTGTTTTATTTTTCACTATCCTTATGTTCGACATCACATATGCATGGTTTCATGGACTTTCCAGGTTTGCCTATATATTTATATTAATTTCTTTGTCTTTTTTCCATTATGATCATAATTTTCATTTTGTTTAATTTCCTGCAATTTTCAGTAAACAAGGGTTTGCAAAACCAGTTTTTTGGTTTGGGGCAGTTGTTCTTAAGCATGCTCTCACTGTTATTCTCTCATATTAGTATATCAACTGTTTTCTCTCAAAATACATTTATTTTTATATATTTTTATTATTATTTCAGAAAAAAAGTTTAAAATTCTTTTGAAACAATGGTGGAAAAAAATTTAACCAACAGATATTACCAGACACATACAGCTTACTAATGATTATTTGGAACTGGAGATATAGTGTGAAACTTTGTATTTACAAATGATTCTGATGACTCCAAAAGATCTTTAGAAGTAATTTTAAAGACAATTTACAAAATTTTAATGGTTAATCCCTCAGGTCCGCAAATCTGACAATTTTGTGATTTTTCTCTCTGTATATTCATCAAATATGTTATTCTTACCAATGATAACTCAAGAACATTGTCAGCAGATTGTTTCTGTAACTTTTTCTGTAATTGTTATGAAGCTACAAAGTATGCAGCATGAAAATGGCCATACTGACTTACAGAACAAACAAAATTTTTATATTTTCCTTCTCAGGTGCTATTCAGAAAATTTTTGCATGTATCTAAAATCTGCTTTTCTTTTTTAAATATCCTGTATTTATTTTTACCCTTCTGTGGACGAGAAAGAAGTTTTGCTTATGTAATAATGGGAGTGGCTTGCTGCATTTCCACTGTAATGGGTTAAAAACATACATCTAAAGTACTTTCACTTAATTTCCTTCAGAATTTATGAAACAGGGTGTCATTATATGAATACAACAGCTAATCCATTTTCACATGCTTTAAAGAATTATTCTTTAAAGAAATAAAACACACATGCTTTAAAGAATTATTCTTATAAAAATAATATTTGCAATTGTTAATCTGACTTTTGAATGGTTGATTCTTATAATAAAATTTATAATACTTTTATACTGTACTGTAACTTACACTACAATTTAGAGAAGACAAATTTTCTTGTTATGGCATTTTTAAATTTAAAAATCATGTTTGTAAAAATTACATGATTTAACTTTTTAAATTGGGTTTCTGTCTATACAGTTAAATATTTACAAAAAAATTATACACATTGTAAAAAATAAAACACAAGAAATAAGACTTGTGTTTTATTTTTTCAAATTTGTGTATCAATTTAATCTGGTGTTAATAGATAAACTATTCAGCTCTACATAGGAGGCAATGGTGGATGCCTATTAGGTGCATCCACAATAAAATGGTCACCACTTTTTGCCTTAGGAGTGGCCAATGCTGAATAAGCAAATGCCTGCGACTAGATTAAACAAAACAAAACAAACAAACAAACAAAATATTTTTTTCCATAAAAAGAATGTAGGCAAAAGTTTTCTTGATCGCAGACAACTGTTTGGCTCAAACTTCACTTAAAGTTTTAGTAAAAGATAATATTTCTGTCTTGTTCTTCCCTTCAGATTGTAAAATCATTACTCAGCTAATGGATATTAGAGGACTGCATGGACTGAGATGCAGATATAAAGTATTTTTTTTTTTAATCTATGCCAATTTTTGTGAACAGAAGCATGGCAAGTGAAGTTTTTTAATATTTCTAATGCAAAATCTGCTGTGTGAAGCATTGCAAGGCCATAGGAAGACTGTCTGCAAGCATTTTTAAAAATGGTTGGTATAATTTATGGCCAGCTACAATATTACATGATAATGATAATAGTCATTAGTTTGAAAGTTTTCAGATATCATAACAGGCAATATTTTCTAATGAATGGAAATTTGTGAACAAGTATGGAGAAGTAATAATAAATAAGGATGATAAAACAGAAGTTTTCAACAGTGATGACAATGTTCCAGTCATCAGTCAAACACAAACTTTTACTAAATATAACTAGAAAACTATATAAAAAGTGTAGTTTTGAAATTTTCATGCAATTGGATTTTTTTTTTTTTTTTTTTTTTTTTTTTTTTGTAATGAAAAAATGCTTTAACATGAATATGTATCTCATTTAAAGCACTTTTGTAACTGGAAATATACATCTTTGACCAATGGTTACAAAAATAAAGGCCACAAAAACTTCTATGATGCACTGTATACAGGGTGTTTCATAGATCATGGGACAAACTTGGAGGGGTGGTCGAGCATACTAAAACATGCATTTTTTTATAGGAAAAATGTGATTATATTATATATATATATATATTAAAACCTATCATACAATTTTTTTTTCTACTTTCCAAAAGAAGATATACTGGTTACCATTAATTAAGGAAAAATCACAAAAATAACAATTACGCCAAAAGTTACTTGTAGAATGTAATTAAACTGACCCACAGTAAACAATATATTGTAAGACAAAAAACAAAATTACCAGACAATTATGATATTATAAAAATTAGCATATGTATAAAATGAACAAATCGTGTGTGTATAAGAACATTATCTCCATGAAGTATGATTATCATCTCCCCTAGAAGAAATCCAACACATATAGCAAGCTGTGATGCAGTCAATTATGCAGTCTATCAGTTCCTTAGGTAGCGAGAGCCATTGTTCTTGAAAAACAGTTGTAAGCATGGCAAGGGTCTGAAGAGGATGATTCAAAGCAGCTATACATCTTTCTAAAGCATTCCAAACCTGTTTGATAAGATTCAGGTCAGGTGATTGAGCTGGCCACTCCACGTGCTGAATCGTTTGCTGTTGAAGATAATCATCCATGAGGCCAGCCCTGTGTGGTCTGGCATTGTTGTCCTGTAGCAGAAAATTATCACTTAATAAGTTCAAGTAATAGAAAGTGTTTTGTAATCTGAAAATACCACACACTTACTCATTCACATTCAAAGTCAGATAACTCCAGAACAACAACGATGAAGTACAGCGACCGAGTAAAATGAACTTAGAATCCCCTATTATCCAACCAGGCTTTCCAAGTGTTACACACATATAGGTTCGTAACTGATTAAATGTACACAGAAGCTTGATGAAATTTTTTTCCAAAAATAACACTTTACAGTTCTGAAATTTTCACAAAAAAGTATTTCTACAGTTCTTATCTGAGCTTCCACTTCAAACTACTGGGAATGAAGTAGAAGACAATGCAATGTGCATCTCAAAAGCAAAGCTCGCATGGTGATCTCTCAATACTCTAAATTCAACTGAAAAACTGGTGTTCTCTCCAGTCTTATATGGTTTTTCCCCCTCCCCCGAGAAATTTTCGATTGTCTTGAAACTGCTGGATGGCATACACAGTTACAGTGACGCAGAGATTGAACCACCAAACTTAGCGGCCTTTTGCGATTTCTCGAGAAATCTGGCAAAAAAATTAGTTGCCAAAACATCATCAACTTGCGGTTATCTTGCTAAATTGGCGAGATAGCCATTTACCTCAGTCTTAAATGAACTTACTAACGAAAGCAACCTGCTTGTCGATGCCTCGCATTCTGACGCATTTCATGTTGCTTATACATGAGATACTACAATTTACATATAATTTCACTAAAATTATCTACATGTATACAAAATTTCTAACTTTGCCCATTTGCCAAGGACTGCATTTCATAGACAGGAAATCATACTTACAACATAGGAAAATCAATCACTAAATATCAAATGCAATACTAAAATAAATGCTATACTAAAATAATATACAGCCCATAAAATACTTAATCAATCAATAAATGCATGAATATACAAATTTATATATACATACACATAGGACCATGGTCTTAGTATTTTATTTACACTTACTATGGCCATAGTAAGGGGCTAGCCTTTCGTAATGAACAACTAAGCCTAAGTTTAGAATCTGATGACTTACGGGCCTGAACTATGACATTGTTCAGACTGTTTAAGACTGTGTAAAGACCATCCCAGGGTGACTAGTTTAGGAGAAAGTCCTTTCCATTGAACCAGAATTCATAACCACACCTTGTCAACTGGTCAGAGTCGATGTCCTTGTTGTATCGGGTCTTCATCTAATCTATCGCCAAGCTGACTCATTATTGTGGATCACTTCAAACTCTGCCCGGAGTTCATAAATGCACTGAGGCAATAAAGGTGAATCCAAAGGGCAACTGAACAACAGATCACAACATGACGGTCAGCACTGAAGAGCATCTGGGATTCAGAGTAGTCAGTAGTCTTGTGGACAGCACTGTGCTAGGCCAATAAGTCGCAGTCCAGTTGATTTCTGGAAATCCTAAGCGAAAGTTTATTAAGGATGATTTGATTAAATATCTCTGTCATGCTGTCTGACTATGGATGTAAAGGTTTGACTGTGGTACAAGACACCATTTTGAATATGGAGCAAGTTCCAGGCAGCCCAGTATTGTTTTGTTGTAGAATTATACATCGAAATGTCCTGCCAAGTAGATTTCCTATTTGAAGACTCCATTAAGTCAATTATGGGTTTAATGTTGCTGTCTTCTAACTAGTTTTTTCTGACTTCTTCATCACTCAATAGGTCTGAGTCAGATGATGTTAAAGTTGTAATTTGATATAAGACAGGATTAACCAGCTCGTATTTTGCTTCAATCCTGGAACATTATTGGCAGTTTTCTGGGCAAGGTCTTCAAGACAGGGCGTCAGCATTTGCATGTGATGATCCTTTCCGATGACATATATTGATGTCGTATTCCTGGAGTTTCTATATCCATCTGCTATTTGGCCTTTGGGATTCTTGGAATTTAATACAGGTCAATGATGGATGATCTGGGCAGAGCAGGAAATTTCGGTGATAGAGGTAATGGTAGGAATGTTGTACATCTTTAACTATGGTGAGCAAATCTTTCCTTGCGACACAGTAACTCCTCTTCAATTTAGATAGACACTTGCTTCATTATGCTATGACATGTTTTTGACCAAACATGTTCTATGACATGTTATTTTTGAGACAAAATGTCACTGACACTCTCATTTTTGCATTTATGTATGGTTTGTTCAGCTGAGGATATATCAGGATTGTCACAAAAGTTAAAGCCTCCTTCAGTTTGTAAAATACATTCTCACGTTCTTTTGTCAACAAGAATGTTTGCTTGCTTTTTCTCAGTCTGTGAAGGGTTAAAATAGGGATTCTCAATATCTTGCAACAGCTGCCTGAGATGGCCACTAATTAGTTTCCCTCCTTGTTAGGAGCAGTCTTAGCTCCCCTGTATTGGCATTTTCTGCTGTTCCTTCATACAGGGCCATCATCACTGCAGTTCCAGCAGTTTCAGATCAGTTTGTTGCCATTCATATTCTGCTTCAAACTATTGACTTGTCTCTAGACAAGCAGTCATTTGATCCACTGGCTGATGGTGGCATACACTGGAATGCTTTTTAGAGCCATGACATGTGCCATTTTTGCAGGGCTTTCTCTATCTCAGGATCCAGGATGCCACTGATGAAGTACTAGAGGGACAGGATTTCCCTTGTATCTGTTGGACAATCTGAAAAGGCGAAATGAGACAGCCTTTCAACATGTGTGGCAAGCTCCTAGTGTTTCTGTTGCTGAGATTTTAAATGAAGCCTGCTATAGTCTTTTAAATATTTCTCACCAAAGTGCAGCTCCAATGCACTGAATAGAGCTTTGACATTTAGCCTCTGGCTTTTAGGCAGAGTTTAAGGATATCCACTGTGTCTGCTCTCAAAGAAGCAGCAAGATAGCAGGCCTTAGCTTTGGAATTCCATCCATTCCTATAGAGAACTGAGTCTTGTACACTTGCCAAAAGGTCTTCCCATTATATACGCAAAGCTTTAGAGTGCGACAGGAAGACATAGGTAAGAATTTAAAGCTGTAAGAATTCTTTACAGCTGCGACTGTGGATTTCTTCAAGCTGTCAACTTCTTTGATGACAGCAGTAAAAACTGTCATTGAATTGTTGTTTGATAGCAGAAACTCTTTCTTTGGTTTCTTGTTCAATAGCAGAATGTTTCCAGTTTCTCCAATTTTATTTTAAACCTTGTTTAGTCTATCTTCTATAGCCCAGAATTAATTTCCTATTACAGAAATAATTCCCGATAGTTGAGTGTATAAACATTATACACTCAACCCACAGTAAAAAAGACAAATTAATAGCAGAAATTTTTTGTCTAAAATTAAAAAAACAGTCATCTTATTTGTTATGAACTTGAAAATTAAAAGCCTACATTTAAAATTAGACAAAATTTCAGGTGGGGGGTGGGGAAGGAATGCATCTCAGACATAAATGCCTATGAAAATGAAAGTAAAACATCTTATCCAATTCCTGCCACACATGAAAGTTGGCAGAGATATCATCAAACTTGTGCCAGCCATTCTAGCAGAAATTAAATGGAACATTTTTTTTTTGTTACATAAACAAATATAAATTATGGATATAGCATACAAAAACTCAAATCGCTTATCACTATTTTACACACTGCACCATGATGGTTTATACATTTTCAAATAAAGTTGCACATTGTGCCTCTTTTGATGCCAACATCAGACATGCAACTTAGAAAATACCATATATGCATGCTGTCTCATGAAAAGCAGGCCCTAAATATTAGACATTTTTTCAAAGTGTGGGGGAAAAAGACAGATCTTTTATATTAAACCAGCTTATCTAGAATGAATTACATTCGCATAAAACCAAGGTGAAATTCTTTCATTGTGATATCATGCTTATCCATTTCTGGTGGTAAATCGCACTTTTGGTGAGAATACATACGAGTTAATAATATAGGAAGCTCTTTAATGATCTTACAAATCTCTCATTCACTTAAATTAAAGGGGAAATTTTTCAAAGTGAAAAAAAAAAAAAAAAAAAAAAAAAAAGATCTTTTTATCTTAAACCAGCTTTTTGAGAATGAATTATATTTGCATAGGTGAAATTCTTTCGCTGTGACAACAGGCTTATCCATTTCTGGTGCTAAATCGCACTTTTGGTAAGAATGTATACGAGCTAATAATATAGCGAGCTCTTTAATGTTGTTACAAATCTCTCATTTACTTATATTTAGGGTAAATTTTTTCCCTAAAATTCTAAAGTATTCCAATTGCTCGAGCTTTTCCATTAGTTTAATGGCGGATAGTCGATATTTTATCATATTTGTATTCGTATTATCGATTCTAATAAATAACTGATTCTTTTAATTTGTGACAAAAATGGGAGTTTTTTTAATGTTTTTAAAGATAGGCCTGGTGTTCTGTTTCTATACTTATATTTTATTAATTGGAACTCAATATTTTTTAAAGACTGAAGCAATCTTAATATTAGTTAATAATAAGTTTTTAACTAATCTTTTGTTCTAACCAAAACATATTACAATGCAATATTAATGAAAAAAAGGAACTGATTTTGAATCTAAGTTCTTTAAAGTAATACACTACTTTATGAAAGAAAGCAAAAATATAATGAATAAAGTAATCACTTTTTCTGTCATTTATATGAAATGATATGTGAAACACATCTTAAAACTAAATTCTCATACATGTGAAAAAACATATAATGTACATTAAAAATTTCAGTAACTAGCAAGAAAGGGAAACTTACCAACAATTGTAACAGGAAAGTAAAGTTTTTTATTGGTAATAAGATCATATCCATGGCAATACGATATAAGAAGACCTAAAAGTTAAGATGAAATATTAACCTGATAGTAATTCAATTTCAGTAACTATTGGGTCAGTCAGTCCATAAATTCATTCGCATTTTTTAGCAAATTTTTAAATAATATAAAAAACACAATTTAACATTTTAATCAACTATATATTTCCCTCCATTATCTACAATGTCTCGCCATCTTACAGGCAGCTTTTTTATGCCATTGCTGTAGAAAGACTCTGGTTTTCATGCAAAAAAACTTGAAAGTTCATTGTGTACATCCTGTTTAGAAATAAAAATTTTGCAAGGCATGAAATACGTGAAAATCACTTGGGGCAATATCAGGGGAGTAAGCAGGCTGTAGCAAAAGCTCCCAATTATATTCACTAATTTTTTGCAGTGTTGTTCGAAGCCGTATGTGGTGTAGCGTTATCATGATGAAACGAACACTTTCTTGATATTCACCAATCGTGGACGTGGCCGTTTTTTGATCAATTCTGAGTTAAGTTGGCAAAGTTGTTCACTATAAACTTCTGAATTTATCGTTTGATCTGGTTCTAACAATTCAACACATCCTGAACGGGGTTCATCATTAACGCTGCTTTTTCCAACTTTAAAATTTTTATACTATTTCTGGGCAGTCCTTACACCAATACTGTGTTCACCATGTACACTATTAATTTTTATCACTGCAAACTTGGCAGATTCACCACACAAAAATAAAAAATGTAGCACAGCATGTTTGTACTGATTATTTATATTCATCTTCAATGGGTACTAAAATGCATTCAATATTTACGAAAGTTGGTGATGAACTGAGTATTAGTCAAGCGATGACAAGTTTCAAAAGGTTCAAAATTGTACTATTTTAGTAAATGCATCATACTGAATTCCACACATACTCTTAATGCGCACAAACTTATAGACTGATCTGATAAATAAAAGCAACTGAATACCGAAAGAGGATATACTCATTTTTGGATATCACTATAATTTTAAAAGTTACTATAGACTCAGCAATGTTAATAAGATTAAATGTTTTGGAGTTAAATAAAAACAATAAATGTTTTATTTTAATTTATCTATTTTGACAGAAAAGATATGTAAAATCTTTATACTAAATTATATATGACATAGCTTGTACAAAACATTTAATAATGGATTTCTAAATAAATTACGGAAGCATTGCACAAGGCGCGTAATGTGTTGTTTCGTACAAAGTCTTTAATCCGGACTCGTCGGGACTTCGGCGATTCCGGATTATAGATCATCAATTTAAATCTGGTAATATGGCAAGCAGAAATTACACGATTAAAAATATGAAATCATTATTTATGAAATAAAGAGCATTTATGATCTAAAGGGTATCAAATTTTACAACACACACACACACACACACACACACACACAAAAAAAAAAAAAAAAAAAAAAAAAAAAACCTTAATATTTATTTGTTTATTTTATTAAACATTTCTTTCAATGTAAGTTGTTTAAGTTGCTTCATTTTATGTGCTAATACTTTCTCTTTAATTCTATAAACACACAGGATTTCTTGTTGAGTTACAAAGTTCTGCTGTTCAAGTCGTGTAATTGCGGTGCCGAGAATACTGACTAACTTGTCAATCGAAATTTTTTTGGTTTCACTAACCTCTCTGTCACTTTCTTCATGTCTTTATCCATTTTTTGCAGCAATTCCACTTTTTGTTTGATGGACATCGAAACATGCTTTCGCTTTGTAGATCCTTTGGCAGCTCCAGAATTGGAAATTGTTTTTGACATAATCAAAAGTTCAAACTTACTTTTTATAAAATTGCTCTAACATAATAAGCCAGATCCAATTAGAAGATTAAGGAACAATGCAATCTGCAACATTAACTGAAATAGATAATTAGATAATTTTAGCTTAGCTTATACTGTCCGTTATACATTAAACGTGCATGTGTAAACGTATTATGCGCATGCGTAAATGCTACACATGCGCAGAAAGTTTGTAGCTTTGAGGTCCAGATTATAGATCAATCCGGATTATGGACGTCCGGATTAAAGACTTTGTACTTGTACTGTTTATTCGTGGCTGCTAAACCTTTATAATGACCAAACATGTCTGCTGCATTATTGCAGCTTTGACATCTGCAGTGTTTAATACTTATATGTAACAAATCTAACAGGTTCAGTATTACGGTTTTCAGTGATACACGGCTATGGGAATGTAAGAAGCCAAGGAAATGCTTTGCATATTGCCCATTACTTAACCAAATAGTAAGTTGTTCAACATGCATTACCAGATAAGGATTCAACAATTATGACATAGTACATTGATTTCTTAAATTTAATGTTAAAATTTTTCATCTTCCCTTCACTAACAATTTCAATTAATTCATCATATTATCTATGATGAACATTTTCTTTTCCTTTTGAGCCTTTATTTTATGTGAATTGCTAAAAATTTACGAAATTCAGCTAGAAACTCTACTCTTCACTTCTCTAATGTATTTCCATTTAATCCAGTTGATGATGCAAATCATTAATCATCATCATTTTATAGCAAGTCAATTTTTCCCTAAAAATTTAACAGCTGTAATGACTCTCTACAGTATTTTTTAGTACTTTCCGATTACCTAAACCCCCACGAAAAATAACTTTCCAACTCATTGCAGACTCGGTGAATTGGCCAAAAACATCTTTTTGGCTAGTTTTATGGCTCACAGGTAGTATTCTGATCATAAACAGCAACAAAAACAAGCATGAAATTTTATGAGGAGGGAAAAAAATCTACAGAATTTATATTTTCATTTTCACAACTGGTAGGTATCTTTTGATTATATATAAAACTAACTGCTATGTGGCCAGCATTTGTCTGGGTTTGAAATGTACCAGGAAAATGCCTAAAGGGAACACCAAACATTAAATTTAAAAACTGCACAGAATTTTGCTCTGCAGAACAACTATATATATATATATCGAATTTCAATAAAAATGAATTTCAATAAAATCCTTCGAATTTCAATAAAAATGAAATGTAGTATTCTGAAAGTAATTCGGAGAAACATAAGTGAAAAATTAGGAATGTGATCGTGTCTTCGTATCCTCATTTATTGATTATTTCTCAGTCCTCCAGTAAAATTTTCTTTACTAAAGCACCAAACTGTTTACAAGTTACTAACATCTGCAAAAGCAACGAGAAATCGGTTGCAATGGTCTAACGAACACTGTACTGTCTTCTCATAGCAGTAATAATATCCTCTGATCACTTCTAGAGTTAGGCTGAGATGTTTCCATTTGCCCTGTTTTGAGATTTAATGAAATGAATCGCATTATCGTGCTTATTGCTGAGGTAGAGAAGTAGCGAAAGCAATATCTCTTAATACAAATATTATTTATCCTAATAAATAAATTAACCAACCTCCCGTTGTTAAATCTTAAGAATTCAAATGGTATAAAGGAAGTTAAAAACTTTGTTTCTTAAAAACAAAATCATGCAAAATGTTTTATATAATTTAAATTCTATACAAAACATAATATAAAAAAATTAAAATGAAGTAAGCAATAAATATCCGTATTTTCAAGAGAAAACAGACAGCAGTCCAGTATCCAAAGCAACGAATGTAAAACTGTTGCCAAATCCACATGTCTAAAAGGATGAAACTATCATCAGAAAGCAATAACCAATCACAATTGTGCTTTGTGGATGACATAATTCAAAGTATACAAACCTTTTTGCCATAGGCTAATGAAGAGAGGGAAAAAAAAAAGGAAAATTCCTTTTGTTGTGCCTCGCAAGACACATGCGCATCAGAATAAGAAGACTGCGATGTGCGTGTTGTGTGTCCAAAAATCAAAAGAAAATAAGCAGCATTTTATCTCATATTTTCAACAGTCAGCAGTCCAGTATACTATAAATTGAATGAAAAACTGTTGCCAAAACCACATTTCTAATACAATGAAACTATTCAAAATGATGATATTTCCTCAAAAAAGATAACATAATTTTAATTCTAATTTTGAAAAAAATCGCTTCGAGGTGCACTGGCTCTTGTCTAGATGCACCTATGTACCAAAATTTGTAGCCCTGCATCTATTAGCTTATGCGCAGCGTGAACGAAAGACACACACAGTCAGATGCTTTCTTTTATTGTATGTAGAGATGTCTAAATCCACATATTGTACACATCAATTATACTAGTAAACAGTTATGCCAAAAACACAGCAATTCTACCAAACATTGGAAACGGAGGAATAGATAATCAAAAAGTACCCACATTTCTCTATATTTGTGTTCTTCAGAAGAAAAGAGTTTCGAATGCGTGTACCAATATGACTGAGTAGAGAATTTCTTGCTGTGCATATTACAGATTTCTAGCATTTCTTTGAACACTCATGTTTTTCAACTCTTACTTTAACATTTCCTGAATCTCCATAGCCTTAAGTAAAAAATAATCTAAAGGGAGACAAAAGTTAACATATATAAAAATAATTAATTTACAGTTACTGCACATCACCTATTCTCTTTAAAATTTCATCACCAATTGCTTTTATATGGCAAAATATGTTTTTCTTAACAAACTTATTAATCTTCATTTCAGTTTCTGTAGCAATTATTTTGATGCTATTTTCTAGACCTATGTGTCAGAATTTTAATTAGGAAACCTTGTATAACAAAATTAAAATATTTGGGCCATACAAATATATTACTGTTTTTGAGATTTTTAAAATGTTTATATTCACTTCTCTTTTGTTTTTTCTTTCTGTCATAAGCTAAGGTAGATCTTCATCAATTTCTCTTTCTTTAATGATATATATTATTAATGCTCCTACTATATGCTTTATATAAGGCTTTTCAACATTTCATTTTGTTCTTTGTTTTTTTCTCTTTCTATTCTAATCTGATCCAATCTCCAGTTTTCTCTCTTCATTTGTTGATGTGTCTTTACAATTTTTTTGTAAAATACTTAAACAACACATTTTGCTTTAAATTTTCTTCCTCACTCATCTTGGTTTATAATGAATTCATATTTGAAAGTCTG